AAAGAATTCTGTTTTATATCCTAGTCCTTCATACCTATTACACTTCTGCTGCTCTGGTTAGCCAGGGCCACTTCCTCACCACAAGCAGAAGCTCAGTCAAAGCATTCAAATACAGGTAGGTTTAAAAGGCTTCTCTCAAGGTGCTGCCTAGAACGCTCTCAACACGTTCTTATTCCCACAGCACAGGGCTTTATTTCAGTTCACTCCTTGAAAGGGGGATTTAAACCAGAAGAACAAAGACAGGAAAAAAAAAGGAACAAGCAGGCAGGGAGGCTGATAAATAAGTTTGGTATTTGTTCGGCTTGATGCAGAATTGTTCTCACCACTACTGGCCTCTTGGGAGGAAGAGGCAGCAAAGATGGCTCCAGAGGTGCTACCACTTTGGGTCTTAGGGCTTATAAATTCACAAGCACAGTGGGTTCCACCTTCTAACATAAAGTGCAAACACAGCCAGACTTCACCAGGAGGGAGAGACAGCCATAGCTGAAGGCACTTTAATCAAGGCACACATCCAATGTCGGAGATTGTTTTCCTTCTGGTTACTCTGATAAATCTAGATGCCACTCTGCTGGAGCACCAGCACTGTTGGCAGCTGGGGTTAGTGTGCGAGTAAACAGGGAATGAGGGCCTGCTCACTAGTAAAACTTCTTGGTAGGGCTGTTAGCGTGGTCAATTAGTAGCTGGCACGGAGTGAACGCTTTTCCATAGGCAGCCTCGTACTTCATGAGCCGATCCACTACCTTCTTAGCACCATACAGATCCACAAAGCGGAAGGGCCCTGATGGAGAAACAGGACTTTGTTGAAGGAGACAGCGACACGAGCTCTAGGATAAAGGAAACCACCTCCTCAACTTGCAAGACCAACCTCCAAGAGAGGGGGGGAAGCCGAGCCCAAAGACAGCTCCGATGTCTCCCTCTGCGGGTGTGGCCAAGATCCCTTCCTGTAGGCACAGGACAGCCTCGTTGACGAATCTTGTCACCAGGCGGTACTGGATGTCTTCATCAGAGGAGCTGCCAACAGGGAGAGACATTCAGGTAGAGGAAGAGGAGGAAGGGAGGGCTGCAGGGGCCAACCAGTACTGAACCTCCAACTCTAGAGATGGTGCTGCCAAGTGGCCAGCCTTTCCCTTGGAAAAAGCTGGCACAGGGCTATTTGCCCTAATTAACCTGAAACTGAGCACCTGGTACAGAGTCTGCAACAGAGTAGACAATCTCTCTTCACATCAGCAGCTGTCAATTACACATGCTAGGGGCCCAGGATCATGGTCTTTCTAGTTGCTCTCTGGGACCTTCAGAAGGAAGGCGGGAGCAGGGATCTTCCCAAGGCTCAGCTGCAGTTCTCCTCTGATGTCTGGCAGAGAACAAGGTGCTGTGCACAAGGGCAAAAGTATAAATCGCTATGTCAGCATCAGCTTAGGTATGGTGATCATAACCATACTGGAGGAGGGGCTGAGAAGCTTTGTGCTGATGAGAAATATTTCCATGCCACTAGCTACTCAAACTGACTTACACTTCAGACTTAGGAGGCACCTTCAGACTTGCCAAAATACTATCCATGTCAGAATTCAAATTCCTACTCTTCGTACCTTCCTGGTAGATGTAAAAGCCCTTCCCAGACTTGCGGCCTAAAAGAAATAGGAAAAGGTAGAGTTATAAATTCTCAGAGCCCAGGCCTAAGAAGTCTCTTCTCTGCTAGTCTGCTGTAAAGCTCCTGCCTCTCTTCTGTATTCCTGACTTTGCATATCCAGCTACCCCTAGAAATTTAGTATTTGTCAGAAGAATTTGCAGAGAAGGGAAAAAACATCTTGTTTCTTGGACATCTGTTTCTGGATGGAAAAGGCCACTTGAGTGAATTTTAATGTCCAGATACACAACACTAGGCACTAGGATGCCCAGGTCCTAGCACCGACCTTGCTGCTACTTTGCTAAGAGAGAGCCATCTTTCTAGTGGGCCTTGACTGTATACTCTATATTTACAGCGGTTTTACTTTCTCCACAGTGGTGGCCAGATAACATGGTAAAACCTGGATGCAAGCTTGCTAGTGCAGTACCATGAATGTACTAGAGGCCTTAGGTAGGATGAAAATGCCTGTCAATCTGGCATGACTTGGGCCAGGTAGTAGCAGAGCTTCAGAGAGCCAGAATTCTGCCTTTTGTCCATAATCTACAGCCCTAGATTAAGAAGAAGTTGTCCCGAACTAATTTCTGAAGTTCTCTACAACTGTGGGCTCTATGTTTAGGAAAAACACTCTTCCACATGGGCCTTCTATAACTCTTTGGTCTCAAGGAACTGCTCAGAACTTTGTGATTAATGGTGCTAGTTATGTTTCTTTGAGGCCACTCACCCAGGAAGCCCTTGGACACCATCTGTTTCAGCAGTTCTAAGTTTCCACCTTCAAACCGCTCCCCAAAAGCTTTGCCTAGATCGCTTGAGACGTGTTTTGCTACGTCCACGCCAACTTCATCCATCAGTGTGACAGCACCCACAGGAAAGCCAAAGCGTGTGGTCAGGGAATCCAACTTCTTAGGGTCAACTCCTTCCTGATGGGAAGTGAAGCAAGGACCTCAGGGGAAGGCCACCCTGACCCCCCCCCCCAAGGCTCCCCGTGGTAGCTCTCAGAAACAGCCTGTGTGGCACCCACTTCTCTTCTGGGTATCACTTGGCCAGACCCAGGACTAGGACTGTTTCACTCAGGGAAACATAAGAGGTAGGGAGCCCCAAGGGGAAAGTCTGGGTCTTCCTTAACTTACAGCACATTAAGAAAGTCTAGAGATGAACAAGTTATTCATTTCTTTCTTGTTCACAATTCTGAATTTCAATAACGAGCTTTATGGCAGACAGATGAGAGAAGAGACATCACCGAGGAGCTATGCTGCAGAGAGCCCCATGATCCTCATGTCTGATAAGTTTCCAGTGAGCAGGGACCGCCCCCTTCTGCCAGTGAATGACCAGTACGGCCACCAGAGGTGTCTGCTTGTGCAGAAGTAGATACAGCACCAATCAGGTACGGACCAAGTGGGCCCTGTTTTGGATGGTCTCTGCCTCAAAGGGGACGCAGAAACAGCACAGAAGACCATATCAGGAGGCCTTTGGCCTAATGGAGCAGAGAGGAAGCTAAGAGAGCAGGCTAAAATTCTTCCTATTTTAGCAACACAAGCCCGTGACTTCCCACCACTGTGCAGAAAGGGGAGGCACAAAAGGGCCTTCTTGAAGAAGAGTCAGGAGTCTGTGTATTAGAAGGAAGCTGTTCCTCATGTTGACATGACCTGTTTGGAGGACTGGTTTAAGGAGTGGAAGATGCCTTACCATGAGAGCGATACCAACCTGGAGAATTCTCATGACTTCAGACAACATGGGTGCGAGACACCTTGTGGTATAGAAGCCAGGCCCATCCTGTCAAGGGAAAAAATGTGAGCTTGCTGGCCCCTCTACTGCGGGTACTACCTGAGTCTGAAAGCAGTCTCCCTTCCACAGGCGTCATTTCAAAATTCAACGTGATTATCTCAATCAGAATCCTTAAAATAAAATTTCAGGGTGAGGAATAGCAGCGTGGTTTGAATTCAAAAGCACAGCATATAGCTTCACGGTCACCTGAAAGGTCTGGAGTGGCTGGGAGAACCTGCCACATTCCAGACATGCCCCACTCTGACCCTGACTCACCTGCCTTTATACAGTTAACACCACTGTCCATACTGTAGATAACCCAGAGGAAATCATATTGAAAGTTGGTATATTTGCCTCAGAAGTTAACAAACAAGCTTGGAGGTAGAAGGAGTCTTAAGAAAACTTTCCCAAATCTGCCGCTCCGTCACACAGCTCCTTACCTTAACCACAATGATGACCTTCCCCTGCCTGAGACCAACTGCTACAGCGGAAGCAGTTGTGTCCTTAGAAGTTTTGTCGGTTGTGATGATCTCCAGTAGCTGCATCTTGTCCACAGGAGAGAAGTAGTGCATGCCAATCACCTGGCAAGGAGAACAAAAAGCCAACA